GGTCATTCATTTTGAACAAACTTGGTAGCCCTTCATCCTATCATGCTACTAGCCAAATATTATCAGCCTGGGCCTCTTGGTTATTCAGAAGTTGTTTAAAGTAAAAAGTTGACGCCGAGATTGGAACTAAAAGTTAAAACACTCTTTGGGGACCTCGCAATGCATATTTGTACCAAGTTTGGAGTCAATCACTTTGGCCATTCTTAAGAGGAAGGTGAAAATGTCTCGGCCAATCAGAGGCCATGGTAGCCATCTTGGATTTTAGATTGGTATGAAAAATATGAACACTTATTCGGGACTTTATAAGGAAAATTTGTACGAAGTTTCAAGACAATCAGTGAAGACGTTGAAGATGTGAATTGTTAAAGCACAAGGGACGATGCATTAACTACAGACGACAGATGGCAATAGCTCGCATGTAAGCTTATTAGAGTATAAGGAACACAGTAAAAACAAAGTGAGAGCAGGTCACATTAAATGATTTTATTCTTTGTTTGCTGCTGGCAAAGTAAAATTTAGTTTAAACTTTTACAAATTCATTTCACAAACTTGACAATTTCTTGACATGACTAACATAAATCTTTCGTCCTAGAAACTTAGGTAAACAGACATTCAGACAACGACACAACACATCTTCTTTCTACAGATTCATTGAAGAACGTACATCTTTTTCCTGTTGTCATGGCAACAGTTATGATTTTAGGGCAAAGGACTAAATTCTAACTAACATTGTCCCTACAACTAACGTTGTCACATTGATGTAACAAACATGTCTCTACAACTAACGTTGTCACATCGATGGGTTGCCATAGCAATGATAATATACACTAGTCTATATTTGTAGTCCACTCCAACTCCATGACATGGAATGCATCTTCTTTGTATATGTACAAGTAACCATTGTCTTACAAAACCTGTATCTCTATCATATACAAATGTACAGGGAGTTGTGCTTAGTATAAAGTCAGTCATATCACAAAAGGAAAATAATGAAAGTCTTCCTCAAATAACTGACAAAATATAAAAAGAAAAATAGCAGAGACTTGGTAAGGTTTAACAGTAGGTTGTGTGAACACAGAATCTAGAACTAAGCAAGTCATGCCAACACTTTTTTTCTGAATCTGGATATTAAGTTTTGTAGCACCAATATTTTTAATGTTAGAGAGTGATAAGATTTCACACTTTCCTTGCTACAGTGTACTACACCAGCCGAGAACTTCTCTATAAACAGCTGTAGGTTGGGCACCAGGACAGGGTTAAATCCAGTGGTGGTCTTGTCGAAATTTGTTCCCTGATTCACGTACATTTGTAGTTTTACTTGTTGGCTTTTAACTCATTCACCCCTGAAATTTCATAATGAACTATTCCAATCTTTGGAAGGGTTCAACTGTGTCTTCAGGGGTGAATGAGTTAAATAGATAATTAAATATCATATAATAGAGAAAAAACAGATCATGACCTGGCCCCATTGCTGAAAAAATCCTAAACTCTTAGAATTTGCTAAATATAAACACTCTTTTAAATTAAACTTCATATTTCCTCTCCAATGTTGTAAATATTGATTTTTCTGCATCTCAAGTCAAGAAGTGATCTCTTAAACACACAGCAAGAGTGAATGATGTAAGTTGATATAACTTGTTTCACAAATGTTGCAAAATTATTTTAATTTAAACACACCTTTACAACGATTGATGTTAAGAAATGAAAATAGTGTCTAGATGGGATTGTACACAAGAATGTTTAAAGGGAGATAACTTTCATTAATTACCTCCCCTGATGAGTCTGGTTCTGTACACTTTATTTACTAGTGACAAACATGAGGCAACTTTCTAATAAACGTTTTATTTGTTATTCACTTGCCTAGTGACAAAAAATCAAAATTTGATGACGATAGCTGTAGATTTAGTTATTTACATCACACTTGCACTTAAGATTCCATAAATATTAAAGAGATTTACTGTCATGTCTATTTCTGGTATCACAAAATCTGGACAAAAATTGCTCAAAATCAAAAAAAAAAATCAAGAAAACAGTAAGTTTTGGAAAGAAATTGTCACATTACAAGTTAAACAGAAGAACACTTTAAAGTTTGTATAATTGTCCAATCCTTTCTTTATTAATTAAAAATTAAATAAAATTAAAACAAATCAACTAACCAGACTTATACCCATTAGTCTTTTAAAACATTTGATCCAATGAGTAGGTTGGCTAATAGCTAACTGATTAAGAGTACAAATCATATAATCTCTTGTATACATAAATAATTACATAACAAATAAGGTAGACATTTGTGAGGTGAACTAACGTACCAAATCCACAACAAGAATTGCATAATAAATATAGGAAATGAACATTCACAGAAATAGGCTATCAATACATGTTTACATCAGAGAACTACCCTCAACTAAATCAACTTCCCAACAAACCCCGAAAGCCTGTTGAGCAATGGATTCAGAGTCCAGGATTCCTTTAGCTCTGCCACGTGAAGGAGGGATAAATAGATAGTAAATGCCAGGGGTCCACTTTTTCTGAACTGTGGAATCGCCATACATGCTAAGGAACACAAACGGAACATGTGAGAACGTCAGATCAATAACAGCAGTACTAGGTACAAAGTCTGGCCAGGTGAACAGGGTCGCGTGGAAACCAAAACGGCCAGGTGAACAGGGTCGCGTGGAAACCAAAACAGCAGCACTAAATGCAAATTTTGGGGGATTAAACAGCATTTGGCTCACAACACAGTCACTAGATACAAAGTTTGGACCGGTGACCAGTGTTGGGGCTGGCCCACAACAGTACCACTAGGTACAAAGTTTGAACCTGTGACCAGTGTTCAGGCTGGCCCACAACAGAACCACTAGGGACAAAGTTTGGACCGGTGACCAGAGTTTGGGCTGGCCCACAACAGAACCACTAGGGACAAAGTTTGGACCGCTGACCAGTGTTTGGGCTGGCCCACAACAGAACCACTAGGCACAAAGTTTGGTCCGGTGACCAGTGTTCGTTGCTGGTCCACAACAGAAACACTAGGCACAAAGTTTGGACCGGTGACCAGTGTTTGGGCTGGTCCTCAACAGAACCACTAGGGACAAAGTTTGGACCGGTGACCAGTGGTTGGGCTGGCCCACAACAGAACCACTAGGCACAAAGGTTGGACCGGTGACCAGTGTTCGTTGCTGGTCCACAACAGAACCACTAGGCACAAAGTTTGGTCCGGTGACCAGTGTTCGTTGCTGGTCCACAACAGAACCACTAGGCACAAAGGTTGGACCGGTGACCAGTGTTCGTTGCTGGTCCACAACAGAACCACTAGGCACAAAGGTTGTGCCGGTGACCAGTGTTCGTTGCTGGTCCACAACAGAAACACTAGGCACAAAGTTTGGACCGGTGACCAGTGTTCGGGCTGGTCCACAACAGAACCACTAGGCACAAAGTTTGGACCGTTGACCAGTGTTCGGGCTGGGCCACAACAGAACCACTAGGCACAAAGTTTGGTCCGGTGACCAGTGTTTGGGCTGGCCCACAACAGAACCACTAGGCACAAAGTTTGGACCGGTGACCAGTGTTCGTTGCTGGTCCACAACAGAACCACTAGGCACAAAGTTTGGACCGGTGACCAGTGTTTGGGCTGGCCCACAACAGAACCACTAGGTACAAAGTTTGGACTAGTGACCAATGTTCAAACAGGCCCAAAACGGGGCCACCAAGTTTAGTAAGCTGCGCTCAACTATGCCTACAACTGAACTATTAGGTACAATATTTTGACCAGTGCATAGTGTTCGACCAGGCCCAAAACACATCCAATAGGTACAAAGTTTCGACCTGTAAATAATGTCCAACCAAGCCCACAATACAGCCACTAAGTCCACCGTTTTGACCTGTGAGCAGCATTCGACCAGTCCTACAACAGAACTACTAGGTACAAAGTTTGGGCTAGGTACAAGTCTCCAGTCAGCGCTTTCTACTATCTCCTCTATACATCTGTCATAACTTACATTTTTCCAACATAAGTCGATATAAATCATCCTTTAATGACATTTGGCCCCAAAACCAAAAGGTGACTGAATGTCTGGCATCTGACGTCCTCACATGAAATTTCAACATAATTAAATAGAATGAATACATTTATGACATGCATGACATTTGTCAACTACATTTCAATGATGTCACTTTGACGCTACTTACACACACAGGGTAGGTAAACAATAGAAAGACCGACAGCATATATACTTATGTGGTGTCCTCGGATGAATGTAGCATTATACGTAAAATGTTTCGTGTTGACAAAATGCTTGTGAATGAGCAGGAAATACATAACATCTACGATACATGTATATCATTTCCTTTATGTGTGCATAAATACAATCTCGACTACTAACATGATTACAAGATTTTGTATCAATTATCTTGAAAAACTTGACGATGAACAACTGTACCAGACAATTGAATGGTCACCCTAGTATTACGTCAACATTCATTGTACAATGCAATCAGAATTGTCCAACATTCAACTACTAACAAGTTTCAGTGAACATAGAATCACACATGGTCAAACGTCAACTAGACAGCTATGTCACCTGTGTATAGCTGACCAATGACGTGAATGATGACATTGTAAGTAAGGACCTATAATGCTGTGACGCTAACTACGATGATCTGTGAGAATGATGACGAGTAAGCTATTGTACAGATGGTGAGGTAATTATATAAAAACATGACTCATTGTTCACATAAACCTGTTACAGAATCCAGTCAACTTTGTGTCAACACTTAGTCTACGCTTGTCAACTAGAAATCCTTCATCGGCTCGTGGCCATCGTCAACATTGCTTCCGCTGTCAACATGTCCACAACTTGCTTTGTCGACACCGATCCTGACCCTATTAATCCTGTTCTGTATATCATTCCACACCGATGCTGACCCTATTATCCTTGTTCTGTATATCATTCCACACCCTGTGTTACCGTAGTAGCACAGCCGGTTTTACTGGCGGGTTTTTACACTCTCTAATCTTTCTCTGAATCATCATTGACCTTGACCCTGTTATACACTGAGGTCGCTAAGTATGTTCAACTACTATGTCCGTTATATACCATAATTATATAGATGGTGCTACTGTATTGCACCTCGACGCATCTCTGTGGTGATGCAAAGTCGCCATGGAAACAGATTTGACACAACGTCTCCATGGTAACTAGTTTCATTTCATATAATGATGTATAGATGTATGTCTACTGTGGTCGACCAGACAAATTCGGCCGATCTGGAATCCTTGGTACACCAGCAGAGGAAGGTCTACTACAAGAGAAAATAAACTTGTATTAAAATTTGATTGAGTTTGCTAAAAGCCATTGACAAAACTGATTTCAAGTTCACCCAGGAGAATGTTATAGTTCAACCATCCAATATTAAAATGTAATAATGTTGTCTTCAGCTGAGCTTTTGAATTGAAATAATAGACAGTGTAGGGTCTTAATGCCGCCTGTTAAATGTTCAGCCAGCAAGCAGTGAAACAGCTCAATGTTAATATGTAATACATGTCCAGGTATTGCTATTGTTCTACACCCTTTCTTTGGCTTCAATTAAAAACATTTCATATTGACAGCACACAACATCTAAATTCAGGTTGATGTTCACTGCTGTTAATTTAACTCATTCGCCCCTGAAGACACATTTGAACTCTTCCAATTCAAAGGTTGGAATAGTTTATTATGAAATTTCAAGGGTGAATGAGTTCATAACCTTTCCAGCATGGTCAATGATAAGACGGATACAAATCCATGCACCAATTGCTTTCAGTTTTTAGTTTCACTCTGGATCACAAAAAAACTTTCTACTGGTACTTATGCTTATTATTAACAATGTATATTAACTTTGTGAGCTAGCTTTAAAACTGACTATATAGAAGTGAGACGTACAGGCATGTTAAGAAAGCGTTGTTATTAGTACATGTTATAAGTGACTTAAATCGTTATCACCAGTCTTAAATGGCAGGAACCTGCAAAAAATATCCCTTGTAAAATCCTGTGTAAAAAGCCATCGAAATCGCTAGCCTCTAAATTCCACATATATGTATAGAGATCAAAAAGGACAGAAACAAGCATCTAAAGGATACCACAGGTACCACGTTCCTTAAGATATAGGCAGAAAGTAAGTTTGGGGAAGGAAGGGGGAGGGGTGGTACACGGTCCCCCCCTCTGGAAGAAAAACTGTCTCTTTGGGATAGAGCTGGAACTGTCTCCCTCATGATAGTATATGAACCATATCCTTAGGATAGTAAAGATACCCTGTCTTAGGATTGTACAGGTCTCCTTAGGGTAGTACAGTTATCGTGCCCTTAGGATGGTACAATTACTGTCCCCTTAGGATGGTACAATTACTGTCCCCTTAGGATGGTACAATTACTGTCCCCTTAGGATGGTACAATTACTGTCCCCTTAGGATGGTACAATTACTGTCCCCTTAGGATGGTACAATTACTGTCCCCTTAGGATGGTACAATTACTGTCCCCTTAGGATGGTACAATTACTGTCCCCTTAGGATGGTACAATTACTGTCCCCTTAGGATGGTACAATTACTGTCCCCTTAGGATGGTACAATTACTGTCCCCTTAGGATGGTACAATTACTGTCCCCTTAGGATGGTACAATTACTGTCCCCTTAGGATGGTACAATTACTGTCCCCTTAGGATGGTACAATTACTGTCCCCTTAGGATGGTAAAATTACTGTCCCCTTAGAATAGTTACAGGTGCCATCTTCTAAAACACATATATAAAACATACTGTAAATTCAATGAGAGTATTTATATTTTAATTTGCAAGATATCTCGAATCTATTAACCCGTTCACCCCTATGTAACTTTAGTAGACATTACCATGCGTTGATATCGAGGAGTCCATTATGGTCTACAGTGGTGAAAGGGTTAACACAATCTGTATATTAGAGAACATTTCTTTGAGCAAATTTACTTCTAAAAACATGTACTTCTCGATAAATGAAGTATGTTGACAGTAGCACAGCAGGGTGTTTGAAAACTTCAAGTTATATCACCTTTCTCTCGCGACAGATATCACTCTTTTTCTGTTTATTTGTTTCTAGATAGCTTCCCATTTCCCATTTCTTGTTTCTAGATAGCTTCCCGTTTCTTGTTTCTAAATAGCTTCCAATTTCTTGTTTCTAGATAGCTTCCCATTTCTTAGATAGCTTCCTATTTCTTGTTTCTAGATAGCTTCCCATTTCTTGTTCCTAGATAGCTTCCCATTTCTTGCTTCTGGTTAGCTTCTGATTTTTGTAACACTATTCGTTTAAAAGGTTACAAGGTTCTGGATTGAGATTGGTCTGTTTATACACATTTGGGTGGACGTTAATCTTGGTCTGTTTATACACATTTGGGGGGACGTTAATCTTGGTCTGTTTATACACATTTGGGGGACGTTAATCTTGGTCTGTTTATACACATTAGGGGGGACGTTAATCTTGGTCTGTTTATACACATTTGGGTGGACGTTAATCTTGGTCCGTTTATACACGTTTGGGTGGACGTTAATCTTGGAGTTTGACATTATTTGGAGACGGAAAAAGGTGAATATTTTCACTGTAACAACAGGTGAGTATTACAGGCAGTATTAACCCTGATCCTAGCACATATCCAGTACTTGCCAGTTTTCATGTCTTTAATTAGCAATCTTTTTCAAAATCCAGAAATAATAATTTGTTTTTGTCTATAAAATTCTGGAAAAAAAGGAACAAGATTTCTTTTCTGTCAGTACAGCAATATATAAAATCTGTATTTCTGATCAAAAATCACATGACAACTGGCAAATCCTACAGGTCAGAGACATACACACTCAAAACCTACAGGTCAGAGACATACACATTCTAAAGGTAGCACTGTCGTCATCTAACTTTTACATTTAAATTTTCATATTTGTATTTCTTTGGTGTCCTTTTAAATTTCACTGATGTGTTATCAAATGTAAATATTCTGGTAAATTTCCATATTTTCGATAATCATATTCGAGTTAAATAAATATTTTAAATATTATTTTTAACAATTCAACTTTGAATCACAGAATTAACGTATTGGTCCGAAGAAATAAGATCTGTAAGACTGTTTTGAGTGTATTTATCATGAGCTGTCCGTGTTACATAAGCATTAATGTTTTAGTATATGAATGTGGGGGCCAAAAACAGCAGATAGAAAACCCAGTAGCTGAAAACCGGACAAATATCTGGTTCTTCTTGACAACGAATATATATATAACTATCTCTAATATTCTTAACGATCTCAAATGTGATTGCTTGAGTTCAAGTAACTATTACTACAATTACTATGACTTAATCATGTGCAATAAATCATGGTCATTTTGGAATGGCATTTACACCAAAGTCCTAACGTAAATAAAATATAAATTTCCAAAACATCATCTGTTCTATGAAGTTGTATTAGAAATTCAATACTAGCAAGTCTTTCATTTAAAATCAAGTTGCAATTTAAATACATTTGAGAGATTATAACTTATTTTTAATGACGGACTTGAAATTCCGAACAGAACCAGATATTTTGTCCATTCTCAAGAACAGCCCTAATAAACTTCTGGTATAGTAGATAATTACCCTCTGAAACTGGGTTTTGTGCTGTAAAAAAGGCATAGTGGTACAAAATTATGATCTCGGTCCGATATACAACCCTGGTTTTACTCTCATAAAGCCTTGCTATCTTAAAACATTAAAAAAAAAAAAAAAAAAAAAAAATCACAAACCCAGAATATCTGGGAGTGTCATCTCAGATCCTGTAAACATTTATTTTAGTCTTATTTTAGCAGTAGTCTTATATAAGTGTGCTCCACGCTTTAAATATTATACTTAATTATGATTTCGCCAACTGAAGTTTCCGTAAATTGTTTTCTTATGTATTTTTTTGCGGGTGCACCAATCTGTTCAAATTTGATAATGCGCTAGAATTTGAGAGCGGTAAAATACGTACACTTACAGTGTTTTGAATTTCTCATCAGATTTATTTTTTCAATTTCACTGTGCCTAAAGATGATATTCAAAGCAAACATTTCACATTAATTTGTCTGATTGCTAACAAAACTTTATGAACAGTTTCCAGGTTAAGTAAAAAGGTACACAAACAAGCTAACAAGCATGGCATACACAGAATAGTCATACAATAAATAGTGGCATACAAAATTACGTCATACAGGATATAACAATAGAAAAGCTATTTATATATAAATATTATTCATATTACAATTTTTTTCACAGCCTTTAATGAATAATCTAGAAATTTATAAACCAAGTTTCATTTCAGTTATAACTACCATAACTTAAGTCAGCATATCTGTCCCACTACTCCCATTCCTTTGTAAATAATATAAAAGAAAGAGAAACCTAAACCTCCCCTGGGAGGCCCCTCTGACCTCCCCACGCATGTATGCACGACAGGAAACATATTTTCTCATCTTTTTTAATTAACTCTCAAAAGTTATGAAAGATATGCAAGTCTCGCATAATTTTTTAAATATTTACAAAAGAGAGCAAGATAAATATGATATTGGACTAAAACGAGTTGATAATGGTCACTAAGTAATTACAGAGTTATACCCCAATACAATGGATGCACTAGTTGGATTAGTGACATGCTGTAAATTGTTTACCTCTCGGTACGATAACCAATTATTTCACCAGTACACATGCCACTATATACTAGAGTCCTGACGATACCTTATACAACTGAACGCCTGAACGAATACTGGAATCTCTATTTTAGTTAATTTTGGAATATGACCATGCAAAACAATACATTTGTCAGTAAGTTAAAACCATTCTGAATATAGAAACAAAGGAGGTTGATATCAATAACATGTGACTGTTCGTGACTAGATATACTTACGCAGGAATCGGAGGAACATTGGCCATCTGTCCAAAGCCTCCGGTTGCCTGGAAGGCTCCACCGGCCTGGAAAGCCATGTTGGTGAAAGTTCCTGCCGCCTGCTGTGGACCACCCATAGCGTTGATTGCCATACCCAAGGGCACCTGTGGAGCAGGGCGGTTGGGAATGTTGGGAGCCGGGCGGTTCGGGATTGACGGTTGATTGCCCCCGGGGCGGTTGGGAAGGGGCGGCGGAGGAGCACGACTCGGCTTGGGTGAAGAGGGCCGAGAACTTGGACGTCTGCAAGAATAGTTTAATGATTTTAGTATGACAAACTTCCTGTGGATACAATATTTAGGAAAAGCTGCAGCGAGGAATTAAACAGTGACGTCAGCTAACTAGCCTTTTTCTCTTTAGGTTGAGTTTAACATTGTCAAGTCAAAAGAATCACCTGCTGTTTACCAACATTTAACTGACCGCTAACAACTTGAAATTGAAAGTTCATCAATTTAGGTACAAGTCGGGAAAAATAACAGCAACAATTTCAATGCTGATCAACTAGTAATTCAACCTAGTTGTTCTTGAAACCTGCATGCTTTAAAACATTTCATCCATAGCTAAATAAATCTATACCAGTGAGTCCCCTCTAACCCCAACCCTACACATGTCATGAGTGTTATCTACCCCTCACCCTATAAAACACCCATACCACACAGTAACCAAGTCTCATCTGAGTCTCATCTTACCCTGTCCATGAGACTCACACAGTATAACCTCATACTCACCAGTGAGTCACACCTAAACCTACCCTGCACTCATCTAGAGTATAATCTACCCGAACCCTATATCTCACCCAATATTATCACACAGTAACCACAACGTCTCATCTGAGTCTCGTCTCACCCTATCCATGAGACTCGCACAGTACTATATCACACTTACCAGTGAGTCCCCTCTTACCCACAAATATTACCTACAGTAATCTCATCTGAGACTCATCTCCACCCATCCATGAGACACGCTCTAAACAGCAAGTCTCATTTACTCACAACACTACATCTCACCCAATATTACCACACAATAACCACAGAATCTCATCTGAGCCTCATATCACCTATCCATGGACTCACACCAATTATCTATCATTTACCAGCGAGTTTCACCTAACCGTATCTCTACAACTCACCCTCCATTTAAGGACTGTTCCACATTGAGCCAGTCACTGTCGACTGGGGGAGGGCAGGGCGTCGACACTGTTGTCGTGGAGATGTCGCCAATTATATGTAGGGCTTCCTTCGTAGCATGATACATGCGCAGCATTTCCTCACGACGATTTGCTTCCTCTGTCGATTCTTCCATCATGGAACCCTGTGAAATTTACATCTCTTGTTAATATCGATAAATTCAGGAAAACTAAAAGATAAAGGATAAATCAAAAATTTATCTGACTAAAACACTTGTAGGCTTTGCAACTTTCTCACATGCATCAAATATATTCAATATAAGTTTCTTTTTTATCCTATCAGCTAAACATCATTTGAGAATACATATTACAGGTACCACCTGTCCACTGAGGAACAAATGTTACCTGTCCACTGAGGAACATGTACCACCTGTCCACTGAGGAACAGATGTTACCTGTAAACTGAGGAACAAATGTTACCTGTCCACTGAGGAACAAATGTTACCTGTCTGCTGAGGAACACATGTTACCTGTCCACTGAGGAACAAATGTTACCTGTCCACTGAGGAACAGATGTTACCTGTCCACTGAGGAACAACTGTTACCTGTCCACTGAGGAACAAATGTTACCTGTATACTGAGGAATAAATGTTACCTGTATACTGAGGAACAGATAATACCTGTATAATGAGGAACAGGTAACAGTGGAACAGGAAACAGTTGAACATATATTACCTGTATACTGAGGAACAGATGTTACCTGTATACTGAGGAACAGATATTACCTGTATACTTTGGAACAGATGTTACCTGTATACTGAGGAACAGATATTACCTGTATACTGAGGAACAGGTAACAGTGGAACATATATTACCTGTATACTGAGGAACATATATTACCTGTATACTAAGGAACAGATGTTACCAGTATACTAAAGAACAGATGTTACCTGTATACTGAGGAACAGATGTTACCTGTATACTGAGAAACATATATTAACTGTATACTGAGGAACAGATATTACCTGTTTACTGAGGAACAGGTAACAGTGGAACAGATGTTACCTGTATACTGAAGAACATATATTACCTGTTTACTTAGGAACAGATATTACCTGTATACTGAGGAACAAATGTTACCTGTATACTGAGAAACAAATATCACCTGTGTTCTGATGAACAGATATTACCTATGTACTAAGGAACAAATATTGCCTGTGTACTGAGGAACAGATGTTATCTGTATACTGAGGAACAGATGTTACCTGTATACTGAGGAACAGATGTTACCTGTGTACTTCAGAACAGGTATTACCTGTATACTGAGGAACAGATGTTACCTGTGTACTTAAGAACAGGTATTACCTGTATACTGAGGAACAGATGTAACCTGTTTACTGAGGAACAGATGTAACCTGTATACCGAGGAACAGATGTTACTTGTATACTGAGGAACAGATGTTACCTGTATACTGAGAAAAAAATATCACCTGTGTTCTGACGAACATATATTACCTGTATACTAAGGATCAAATATTACCTGTGTACTGAGGAACAGATGTTACCTATATACTGAGGAACAGATGTTACCTGTATATTGAGGAACAGATGTTACTTGTATACTGAGGAACAGATGTTACCTGTATACTGAGAAACAAATATCACCTGTGTTCTGACGAACATATATTACCTGTATACTAAGGAACAAATATTACCTGTGTACTTAAGAACAGGTATTACCTGTCTACTGAGGAACAGATGTTAACTGTGTACTTAAGAACAGGTATTACCTGTGTACTTAAGAACAGATGTTACCTGTCCACTGAGGAACAGATGTTACCTGTCCACTGAGGAACAAATGTTACCTGTATACTGAGGAACAAATGTTACCTGTCCACTGAGGAACAAATGTTATCTGTCCACGGAGGAACAAATGTTACCTGTATACTGAGGAACAGATGTTACCTGTATACTGAGCAACAGATGTTACCTGTATACTGAGGAACAAATGTTACCTGTATACTGAGGAACAGATATTACCTGTATACTGAGGAACAAATGTTACCTGTGAACTTAAGAACAGGTATTACCTGTCTACTGAGGAACAGATGTAACCTGTGTACTTAAGAACAGGTATTACCTGTCTACTGAGGAACAATAATTATCTTGCAGACCATGAAACTGATCACCAAATTACCTGGTCCACCGTGGAATATAGCTGAGCTAATAATTCACCTCCAATAAATTCCTTCACCTGAAATTGATAGATTTCCATTGTTAATGCAATATTTCAAATAAATAGTAATTGGACAACTTGTTCCAAAACATTTCATTTTCAATAAAAACAAAGTTATCAGGGGCTCATATAGATATACCTCACTCCCCTAAATTGATCAAATGTGACTTTTGATCCCTTTAACCTTGACTGATGACCACCAAAATCAAACCTGGTGTAGAGGTTTATGTTATGATGCTACAGTGTAAATATGAAGTTAATCTATCAAGGCATTCATGAAATATCTTGTACAAAATCTTTGTACTTCAACAGTGGTCAAGTGTGACCCTTTAACCTTGGCCGACGACCACCAAAATCTAATCAGGTATAGAACTTGAAATTACCATGTTATGGTGCAAATGTAAATTGTTGCGGGGTTCCCGAGATATTTTGTACACAAGCTTTTTATTATGTACAGATGGATGAACACTGAGAAAGTGATTACTATACACCTCGTCAACTATATGTTTATGTGAGTCTAAATCAAAAATGAAAATGTTACACTCACTTCATTGACGATCATGTACATGATGGTTTTTGGGACTAGGTCTCGCTGAGTTTTGTTGACGATCTTCATGTAGGAGTCGACAAGGTTACGGATGGTTTCTACCTGTCGCTCTAACTGGGGATCCATGGAGCCGATGTCAGCGCTGCCCGACTGGAAAAAAATATATCTATACAATAGCAATGTTACGAAGAGCAGTACTGCACAATAACATTACAACAGAAATCAGTCGAGGTCAGTAATTATATAATACAGTGTAAGCTGTTCACACAACCACCTCCATAAAGAGACCACCTGTGTTAAGAGACCACCATTATTTAGAGGCCAATGTTAATGCTTCCCATTTTAATTATGACCACCTGTGTTAAGAGACTATCCATATCTAGAGGCCAATTTTATTGTTTCCCATTTTGATTATATGTCCACCTGTATTAAAAGACCACCAGTATTTAGGGGCCAATTTTAATGTTTCCCATTTTAAATTATTTCACTATTAACTGAATATTTATTAAGAGACCACCTGCCTAAAGAGACCACTTTTTGGAAATCCTGAGGATGGTCTCGTTATACAGGTTTAACTGTTGATATAGATAACATTATGAAAAGTTAACTATATGATCCTAAAATATCACCATTGATATCAAGGTGAAACATGTTAAAGATGAAACTATTAGTAACTTACCTTCATTCTATATATCACTGCCTTCCACTTATATCACATTATTTGCTTATTATCACATTGTTTTGTTTAATATCATATTTTACCAAAACATCACTTTCTTTCCAGAAATATAATATATATTGTGTGTAATTAATTTAGTTTGCCTTACTCTAAGAATTTTATAACTCCTATTTACATCATTTTTTCCTGAACTACTTTTTCTGTTCTGTTGAATTCCTTTTTATACCATGTTGTAAAGTCCTTTTTATATCATGTTCTGCTGAACTCCTTTTTATAACATGTTTTATTAAACTTCTTTTAATCTCATGTTGTGTTGCCAGTAGCCCAGCACCACAACCACACATCACAATACCAAATAGACTATTTTGTAGTAGATATCATTTCATTACCAGTAACACTTTGTTAGCGTGCAGCTAGTCCCTACATGTGCATGCTGCTTTGGAAATAAAGGCATGTAGGCATGTAGCTATGTAGGTTTGTAGATAAAGGGAATAGTATAGGTAGAGATATCTAGGGTAGTTCATATCACTGCTGCAATTTCAAGGCTAGAAATTTAGACATGGCAACTGAAGCAACCAATGGCATCTCATGATCACAAGCACAGTATATGTAGGATGCAGGGCTATAGCTACCATCCAATATACCCTTCATATAGTTATTTCAAGCATTTTGATGAAAAAGTCAACAGTGAATCCCTAGGATTGGGTCAACTTTTCATGAAATAGTATAAACACAAGGGAGACTGAGATCAAACGTCTGCTAGTCGATGTTCAGCAAAGTTCTGCGCACCCCAGTGGAAGGATTCCTAAATGAAATTCACTTGTCAAGCCATAAGAGTAATTGAAATTCAAATCCTGCATGAAATAGTCAACAGTGAATCAGAATTTTTAGTTGTCAACTTTTCATGGAACAATCAAAGGTGAACCAAGAGGTGTTTGGCGTCAAGATTTCATGATACAGTCGACAGTGAATCAGAGTACAATCAAAGGTGAACCCAGAGGTGTTTGGGGTCAACTTGGTACAGTCGACAGTGAACCCAGAGGTGAACTTTTTCAGTTTCCAAATGACCACAATAACATTTGGGACCCTTTGGGTGTTTCAACTGTCTGATGAAAATATAGACAATTTGTGACTGTTTTACCGGTCTGGTTTCCTATGATTTACAATGACTTGAATTGGAGATAACAGTCAAATTTGAATTTTCGGATTTTATATTGAGTCTGGTATCAAAAGAAGATTTGTACATATCTTGAGTTTGAAATAAATTACTGTCTGTAGAGCTCAAATTAACATCCCTTCATAATGTTCACTTTGTACATACATGTACTCATGAAGCAAGTGTGTACATGTTAGGGGGATCGCTATGGTGATGGCTGGTAGTTATATATATAAGGTGAGGCAGAGAATGCAGGCAGTGGACGAGGGAGGGACAAGGCTACCGGAGAATAAGCAGATGATGAAGTGAGATGGGAAACAGAATGAAGTCAAACCTACATTGCTACGACTCTGAAACAGCAAACCATGACACATGGATAGGTGATCGAGCGTTATTATAAAATAACACATCATAGTAATATCGATGTACCATTCCTCGCTGTTCCCTTAAGACCTTACCCACCCATGACACTATTAACCATTCCTCGTTTTTCACTTAAGGCCTAACCTACCCACCCATGACACTATGCACCATTCCTCGTTTTTCACTTAAGGCCTAACTTACCAACCTATGACACTAACCTGCCATTTCTTGTTTTTGTTTCCTCCATGGTAGCCTTGACCCTCACCATCTTACCATTTCTTGTTGTCTCATTCCCAACCATGGACTTGACACTATCTGAACATATCTTGATCCCCTCCCCACCACCACCACCAGACCTGACACAAACCTATCATTTCCATTTTTCCCTCTGCCCTTACATAGTCTTGTCAATGATTTGTTTACACTTGACCTTACCATGGATTTACCCTTTCACCCCTATGTAACTTTAGTAGACTCTACCATGCATTGATATGGATGAGTCCATTATGGTCTGAAGTGGTGAAAGGGGTAAATACTAGCTAACTGTTCCTCATTTTTAACTCCTCCTACTTCAGACATGACACTTACCTACCATCTCCAGTTTTTCCTTTTTTTTCTAACAATGACCTGACACTGATCCCTAATTTCTTTTTTTCTTCTTCATCCAAATATATAGAATTGACCCTACCCTATATATTTCTTAAGAAACTTAATTCTACCATCTCTAGTTTTTCCATCTTTTTTAGCAATGACCTAACACTGACCCCTAATTTCTTATTTTTTCTACAGCCCAATACATAGAATTGACCCCACCCTTTAAATTTCTTGTTTCCCCTCTCTCCCTACCCCAGGCCTCTGCTATGTCTGATGATAGACGTTCAATTCCTTTAATTCCCCTCAAACCTTACCTAGCCCTTTCCCGACCTCAAATTTACCCCCTGAACTACAAATTCCTCGTGTTTGATAGGCTGACTTACAGATTCCTTGTTTTCCTCCGTACTTCTGTCTGGGTAGACACCCGCCCTGAGGAAGGAAGCCTTCCAGCTGTCCACCTCTTCCTGACTCTCTGCAGACAACTCCAACTGTTTGTAATCCTTGTACACATTCCTACAAACACAACAGGTGTTGTCAGCAATCTCATATTTCACATATACAGGTAAAACCTTGCTTACAAATACATTTTTACATACAGATACAACCTAGATTAACAATATTTCATATATAAACAGGAAAAAATCTCAATTTTTTGCACACTCTTTGAATTTTGATATGGACAGATTAAATATTTTCTCTCTAGCATTATATCTCGAAGAAATTGCATTTTTCTTTACTGAAATTTGTAAATTTGCACATGAACAAATAATTTATTTACGTATTTATAAACCATTTTTTTATGAATTCACAGGTAAAATTAGAATTTTGATAATACAAAATGTACATGTATATTAATTTTTGCACACTCTTTGAGCTTTGATATGGACAGATAAAATATTTTCTAAAAATATTTCTCTAACATTACGTCTCCATTGAATTGCATTTTCTTCCCTGAAATTGCATCATAAAGTGATATAATCGGATCTCTACTTTGAAGTATTACCGAGTTCTAAAGTACGGTTTGCAAAATTAAGAATTTAATACTGTATACTGGAAAACTGTCGTCTAGCCAAAAATTAGTCATCCCTCGAGAGTAAAATCTACAATTGCCCAGTGTTATAATAGACCTCCACATGGTCATAGTATAGATCAAAACAGTGATATATCCAAGATGGCGGACATTTGTGAACAGGGGGGGGGGGGGGGGGGGCTCGCAATGAAGCCCCCTCCCTACTTTTGGTCTATGTTTTTTCACCAGGGGTGGGGCTTATTTGCAGTCAAATACGGTATTACTATTTATAGTAATATTCGTTGCCGTGATAAATTTGTCCTTATTATGGAGGGCAGACATGCAAAGGTTAACTCATTCACCCCTAAAGACACCTCCAATTCAAAGGTTGGAATACCTCCTTACGAAATTTCAAGGGTGAATGAGTTGAGCTAGGCGAAATTTTTCCAGTATACCGTATTTCCCTTGAACAGTGATAAAGTGTTATGTTCAGGTTTGATACATGTCAGATATTTACATTAGTACAATATACAGTTCATAGAATTACGTAAAATGTACGTAAAAGTTACATAAGTTACATAGTTAATTATATCTACCAGTATTTACGTACGGTAAGAATAATTAATAAATAATTGATTTTATAATTAATTTACATAATTCAAGTACATGACAGTATTTCATCATGTGTATATGTTCTTGTTATTTATAAATATGCTTAAAGCACAGCATACAGGATTTCAAATAAATATGTAGAAAATATATCAACATGAAGTCAAACATTTGTCATTAAAATCTGCACTTAGTATTCTGAAAATTGGGCATTTATATCCACTAGTACCCAATCAGCTGTAGAGACATATTGGGTAGTGGCCTGGACAATCCAGGGCTAAACTCATTTAAATTATAATGTTATATGTGCAGAGAAATCCACGTCTATGTGATGAGTGTTATATATTACATTATCATCAGAACATCATATGTCAATTTCCACAGCAAACTGGAATACGAGTTAGGCCAAACGAATGAAAAGCTTTTCTGGTTAATTTTAAACCACACCAATGTCAGCCAGATTAGTCAAATCAGCAATTGTAGCTCTCTATGGAAATACATACAGGGAATTACAAACTATATCCTTAAACTTTGAATCTTAGTCTTCTTGGGTTTGATACAATAGTGAGTGTAGTATCGATTATAATTTCTATCAACTATGAGTAAGCGCTTCCTCACAAATACTTACATACAAGATCGGTGAAGCCGCATCTCATAAGCAAGTACATGAACTCACAGGTCCTTGATACAAATACTCTCAAGTAAGATTGACAGAGTAGGCTTCCAAACGCGAATACTCTCAAGTAAGATTGACAGAGTAGGCTTCCGAACGCGAATACTCTCATGTAAGATTGACAGAGTATGCTTCCAAACACAAATACTCCCAAGCAAGATTGACAGAGAAGGCTTCCAAACGCAAATACTCCCAAGCAAGATTGACAGAGTAGGCTTCCAAACGCAAATACTCCCAAGCAAGATTGACAGAGTAGGCTTCCAAACGCGAATACTCTCAAGTAAGATTGACAGAGTAGGCTTCCAAACGCAAATACTCTCAAGTAAGATCGACAGAGTAGGCTTCCAAACGCGAATACTCCCAAGTAAGATTGACAGAGTAGGCTTCCAAACGCAAATACTCTCAAGTAAGATTGACAGAGTAGGCTTCCAAACGGGAATACTCTCAAGTAAGATCAACAGAGTAGGCTTCCAAATGCAAATACTCACAAGTAAGATTGACAGAGTAGGCTTACAAACGGGAATACTCTCAAGTAAGATTGACAGTGTAGGCTTCCAAACGCGAATACTCCCAAGTAAGATTGTCAGAGTAGGCTTACAAACGGGAATACTCCCAAGTAAGATTGAAAGAGTAGGCTTACAAACGGGAATACTCTCAAGTAAGATTGACAGAGTAGGCGTACAAACGGGAATACTCCCAAGTAAGATTGACAGAGAAGGCTTCCAAACGCAAATACTCTCAAGTAAGATTGACAGAGTAGGCTTACAAACGGGAATACTCCCAAGTAAGATTGACAGAGTAGGCTTACAAACGGGAATACTCCCAAGTAAGATTGACAGAGTAGGCTTACAAACGCGAATACTCACAAGTAAGATTGACAGAGTAGGCTTCCAAACGGGAATACTCTCAAGTAAGATTGACAGAGTAGGCTTCCAAACGGGAATACTCTCAAGTAAGATTGACAGAGTAGGCTTACAAACGGGAATACTCCCAAGTAAGATTGACAGAGTAGGCTTACAAACGGGAATACTCTCAAGTAAGATTGACAGAGTAGGCTTCCAAACGCAAATACTCTCAAGTAAGATTGACAAATATCAGTAATTAAAGCTCCCTAAAGTAAACTCTCAAAAGTAAGACCCTAGCTCCCTGACTTCTTAAATCAGAGAATCATCATTCAAATTTAGGGCAATTCATACTTGACAACTCTCCCTATTTTGGAGTGAGACTTTTGATTTTGGACCCTTAAATTTTGTATTTTCAACAAGTGAATTTGCAAAACTATTTCTTTATTCTAAGATCTAACGATTTCATTTGAAAGAACAGCTCTGAATCATTTTAAACTGTTATTTTGTCACTAGAGTGTATGTACAAACATTTTATTCCTGTTTTTAATTTTGAGCCTGTGGACATTTTAACAGGTTGGAAACTTTCCGTAAGTTTTGCAATTCCTTGCGGCTTAATTAATAAAACAGTTGGGTCAATTTAAAGGTAAATATAGCAAGATAAACCCATAATTTTTAGAGTTATGCACAACATTCTATATTACTATGAGAATAGACACTCAGACACACTAATATTGCTAGCTGTACAAAATAATATTCTGTATCCATGGTAACTTCATTAACATGATGCTATTTTTCACAAATGAAATACAGTTAATGAAAACATACCAAATTTCTTCATTCAAATCAATCTTGTGAAACCTTTTTCCCCCCACAATTGCGATTGAGGAGAACAACTCACAGCATGTGAGCAGTTCGCAATCCTCATTACATAAAAACAGAATTTTACTTATTATAATTATGGTATTGTGAGCAAATTCATCCTAATACACGTACGGACACAGAATATCACTTTTACCTGTACAGAGGTCAGTGGAGAAGAGAAATGAAAACAGAAGGTCAAACTCATATGCCAGTTTTAACGTAATTTATGACCTACCTCGTTTCAGAATTGTAAACGGCAAACTGATTTTTATGCGAAAATATACCACCCTCAATATCTCGTATCCTAAGACAGTCAACAGGAAGCATATATCGCTTTTCTCTTTCCTAGAAATTCAACAAATCAACAGTATTTTGAGCATGCAGTACCAAAACATTAGACCTGTTCACTGTAACTTAAAAACATGATCTGAAAAAAATATATAGATAAACAGCACAGTATTGAAAGAAAATTAATCAGAAGCTAGTCTAATTAAAAAACAATTAGTAAAGCAGGATGAGTTTCAACATAATAGTGCATGTGTTAAAAAAACCATGGGACAGCATTTTGGTGTTTTGGAAGATCAGAAGAATGTGGACCAAAATCTATGATTCTTTCAAGAAATATAATACCGCAACCTCCTGGACAATAAATTAAAAGCTATGGAATTCATTTCTCAACGTTTTATCTTACATTAAAAGAAAACTCTGCCATTCAATACCCTGACAACGCATCCAGCCCCTAAGTAATCTTCTACAATTCACCAGAATGCTGTCCCATTGTAGCCATGACGTACGATAATAAATCAAAAACCAGGGAAAGAAAAGACACCCAAACCTGTTTTCAGTCTGGAAGATTGCAAAATTCTTTCGCTTGCTCACGAAACCAGAGTCAGGCATATCCCGGACCTTGAGATTATCCAGAGGTAACATAAACTTCTTTTCCTTTTCCTACAATTGAGCAGCTGGAGATAGTACTCTGAACTAGCTACCGATTTACCTTACCCAGGAGCTAACCGAGGTTCTAGTGAGCAAAGCAAGCTCACCGTGTTGTCTGCGTAACTGTATGCTCACCATTTAGTCATCGACGGGTAACCAAGTTTTGAAGTACTTGATTACGTAAAGCAGATTACTTTTGACACGAGGTAAGCATACACTGTGATTTTTTAACCGTTTCTAGCTAACCTTCCTAAATCTCAAACTGCTTCACCAGTTAAGATCAACAAGATGCTGGTTGGTCCTGTGTAACCTGGTTAGACCTAGTTAAATGTCTAACCTGGTTAGACCTAGTTATAACACCAGCTCCAGTTTTGACGTTATCAACTTGTGGTTCTTGCTTGTGCAGTCCGTTATGTTGTTTAGTTTAAAACAATATTAATCCAAACATATTGTAATCAGTGCTATAACGATAGTGAGGCTGGGTGTCTAACGAGCGGACTGATTATCACAGAAGCTCTGCTGAATCTACACTGGTAAAGCGAGATCTATTACAGTAAGCTAGAAACTGTTGTTATCACAAGTGCTAGGAAAATATCAAAAGACAAAAATATACATAATTCTTAAGAAAAAAATACAAAGATATAATTTGTAAAAAGGCAAAATATACCTAGCTACAACCAGCAAGTAATTGGGGGAAAAGGCATGGTAAAATTTCTAGGCTAATTCAGTGAAAAGTGCCCTGCAATAGGACTGGGAATGTTCGGAAAGAGGGTAGTAGGCAGCTGAGAGATAGAGTTGGGAAGGGGCAAATGCAGAGGGAAGAAACAGAGATGGACACATTCTTGTGGAGATGCTAGAATCTCACAATGCAATGTATGGCAGAAATGTTGTTTGGGGAATTCATGAATGTGAGACAATTTTGTATGGCTCTGTGTAGTGTGTGTGTATCTGTTAAATAGTTTGTGTATGCTAGCTGTCGTGTTTTCGACCAATCCACACAGTGCCAGTAGTCTGAAGCTTACTGTATACAGTGTAATAAGGCAGACTCAAAAGTCTGAACATTCTTGCCAGGAAGGGTTGCTATATACTATACTATCAGAGTTACTCAATATTTCAGATTAGAACCAGAAGGTTAGAAGTATGATACACTAGTAGTGGTATCACAAATCTCAAAGTCAGGCAATGATGCAGAATATATGTGTGTTCATACATTTTTATTAATGAAAATGTTAGTTAATTATACATAAAGTTAAATAAAAGGAGAAAAAATAGACTGAACTGTTAAAACAGTTGGGTTTAGTTAGAATTCAAACTACATGGCACTTTACTCAATCACAAAAACTCCATGATTTTACTAAATGACTCCGACTCAGAACTTAGAGGTTTAATGGGTAATAAAATCTTAACTTTGATTTAGGGTATGGTCAATCTATAGGATTCATGAAGAAGTAAAAATAAAAATATTTTGTATTTCCATTTTTTTTAGATTCTATTACACATGAGAACATTTCAGTATGGTTAATGGATTCTGGATTTCCCCAAAAGCCTTTTTTCCCCCACTGCGTCTGTATTTACAGAATCAAGCAACTTCACAAAAACTTTGAAAAGAAATGAGCAAATTGCTTATTAAAGTCTACTGGTATATGGTTTCATTTGCAAGCTGAAAGCCTTTAGATGTTCCGCTATAGAATTGTGCAATGGTACAATTACATGCACACAAATGTGTTGTTAGCAACTTTTACAACATCAGCTCCTGTCGCACATTAGACCCCAAAAACAGCAGCCACCATTTCATAATCATTGAGTTATTTCCCTTCATTTAAATCTTCTTTCATTTCCCTATCATCAATTAAAAAAAAGGGAATATACCAATTTTGTTTCAAACTTTCACCCCTAGGTATGTTTAGTAGACTCTACCACATATATATCTGGATGAGTCCATTATGGTCCATAGTGGTGAAAGGATTAAAGACAATCAAATTTTTTAACATGATGAAGAAATTAAAGTAGAGAAAATTTGATGGACTGCTATATTATAGGGACAATGACAATAGTTAATAAAAATTAATATGGATGTGATCATGCCGATACATGCAAACAATGAAAGCTGATTGGTTCAAAATGCCATCACCTCATGCAACCAGCGACTTGATTGGCCGAGTGCTTCAGACCACTACATGAGCCCAGAGAAAAGAGATTAAGTTAAAGCAATAGCCAGGAAGCTACGAGGGGCGAACCAGAATACTAGGGTATCCCAACGTATTATAATACATAAAGCTGTAACAAGGGGCCATGTCTCCCCCGACCTGTGTGTGTATACCTATGCTCTGAGGAGAAAAGAGCGAAAGTGGGTCGGCGGGAGAGAATTCCCGAAGTCTCTTGGTCTCGCACTTTCAGACCTTCCAAAGGGAGCATGTATTTCTTGTCAGATTCCTGTCAAAAAATTACAGAGTTAGTGTTTTATAATGCCACATGCATATGTCGTTATGGTTACCACATGATCCCGGTCCGAAGAAAAATGATGGAGAATATATATATATGTTAAGAATAGTTCAGCTACCTCATTCAACATCACCTGGTAAAAAAACTTGTGAGCAAATGCATATGTTTTTTAGCTATTGTGAGAAATGATGACCCTTGCCTCTGATGGAATAAATACACTCTGGGATGGGGTGATAACGTAATTAATAGGTATAATACCCTGACGCTGAAGGCATTTATGACAAATGTTTCTGGACAGCATAAGCATGATATAATTTTGTTATAAACATATTATTAAGCAGTTTCTAAGTCAGCAGGAAATCTGTTGCATATCAAATTTCAACTCGTTATCAATGGACTGGGTTATACATGTTCTGTGGGAATCCTATTCTGTTAACCGGAATGAGGAGTGTGTGGTTTAGATTAGGTTCGCATTCCCATTCGCTGTTAGGTTTGACCAATCATATCGTTTCTAATCCTAATAAGACAATGATCAAAGGGATGTACAGATACAATATCACATAGCACAGTCTCCACACAACAAAAACCACTAATGGGTGTTTGCAAAATATTAATTACTATAAACCAAATATTCACAAATATTCAACTAACTAACAGTATGAACAGCAACAGACTTGTGTTACAATATTTCCAATCACTGAATACATTCACTGAATTTATATTCAAATTTTTATTTGAGAAGAAACTGATAAGTTACTGAATTCACCTGTTTATTGAATCTACATATATAACATAAAGCATAACTATGGAAACCATGCTGTTTTCCATAAACTTAAACCAAAATTAATTCAGCAAATTAGTACATCAATTGTTAAAAAAATATGAACAAGAAATGAAATGAATATGGATGTGGGCCAATAAACACATATAACCTATACAGGACACACCTGACACCAGTATATTACTTATACAGAACACACCTGACACCACTATATTACCTATACAGGACACACCTGACACCAGTATATTACCTACAGGACACACCTGACACCAGTATATTACCAAAAGGACACACCTGAAACGGCCAGTATATTAACTACACAGGACACACCTGAAACGGCCAGTATATTACCTATACAGGACACACCTGACAACAGTATATTACCTATTCAGGACACACCTGACACCAGTACATTACCTATACAGGACACACCTGACAACAGTATATTATATATACAGGACACACCTGACACCAGTATATTATATATACAGGACACACCTGACACCACTATATTACCTATACAGGATACCCCTGACACCACTATATTACCTATACAGGATCCACCTGACACCACTATATTACCTATACAGGACACCCCTGACAACAGTATATTACCTATACAGGACACACCTGGCACCAGTATATTACCTATACAGGACACACCAGACACCAGTATATTACCTATACAGGACACCCCTGACAACAGTATATTACCTATACAGGACACACCTGGCACCAGTATATTACCTATACAGGACACACATGACACCACTATATTACCTATACAGGACACCCCTGACACCCCTATATTACCTATACAGGACACACCTGACCCCACTATATTACCTATACAGGATACACCTGCCACCACTATATTACCTATACAGGATACACCTGACCCCACTATATTACCTATACAGGATACACCTGCCACCACTATATTACCTATACAGGATACACCCGACACCCCTATATTACCTATACAGGACACACCTGACCCCACTATATTACCTATACAGGACACACCTGACAACAGTATGTTACCTATTCAGGACACACCTGACACCAGAACATTACCTATACAGGACACACCTGACAACAGTATATTATATGTACAGGACACACCTGACACCAGTATATTACCTATACAGGATACACCTGACACAACTATATTACCTATACAGGACACACCTGACCCCACTATATTACCTATACAGGATACACCTGCCACCACTATATTACCTATACAGGATACACCTGACACAACTATATTACCTATACAGGACACACCTGACACAAGTACATTACCTATCCAGGACACACCTGACACCACTATATTCCCTATACAGGATACACCTGACACCACTATATTCCCTATACAGGATACACCTGACACCAGTATATTACCTATACAGGACACACCTGACACCAGTATATTACCTATACAGGACACACCAGACACCAGTATATTACCTATACAGGACACACCTGTCACCAGTATATTACCTACAGGACACATCTGACACCAGTATATTACCTATACAGGACACACCTGACACCAGTATATTACCTATATTAGTATATGTACTTAACCAGATCTGCCCTTTAAAACAATTGATATAACATGTATAAGTAAAACCAATCACCCCTCTCCCATACTTCCCACCAACCAGGTAAAATTGAACAAAGGCTGTCATACCTAGAGATATATGTCAGGGATGATTTCATGGTAGTTTTGATAGGATTTAGTAGGACATTACTGGATGCAGGCTTAGCTGCCTGAAAATTCACACTAATAAAATGTGAAATATATTTTATAAATGGTCAAATAAAGAACAAAAGTTTAACAAAAGATGTTGAACATAAAAACAGAAACAAACCAAATAGAGAACATATCTATCCTATACCAGTAAAGCTGTGTTCACTAGATCATAAATACATTTCCTTGTCTACATAAAAAAAAATAAAAAAAATATATATATATATATCAAACACATTGAATTAAAAACCAGAATCTTCACTAATATACATAAATGTTTACCCATATAAATAAACGGAATATCTATTCCACAACTTGAGTGATTTCCAGTCGAACTGTTAGTTATTTATCACACCAGCCCTTCATCACGCATCACGCAACCCTTTAAAGCCTTAATCTGATTACATTCATAAAACATTATTAGCTGACATTTAATATGACCAACAGACTTGGGAAACTATTGTTATTACTCACTTTACATCAAGCATAATTGTCTCAATAGAGTATGATGTTTTACACAGCTTTCATAAATATATATACAGCAGTCTACCCAACAAGCTCCATGCAAGCAAACTCAGGGACAATCAAGACTTCTTACAGTTTTTTCAGAAATTGCTTGATTCGATACCGATGTGGAATGGATTGGAGTGTACAGAGATAGAATCATTAGCTAATTTTGACGATTTACAAGCAATATCTCGCTTACAAGATTAACTATTAACATAAAAATAGTTCACTGATCAAAGAAATATTTTGTGAAACAGTCACCCATTAAGCAATAAATAAATTTAAAAAAATCAAATAAACAAATTAACAAATGAACCACCACAGGAAATATAGAAAGAAAAAAAATATAAAATTAACAAATTGAAATTGCAACAATATTTATTTTTCTGATGTTTAATCTTTTTATTTTAATTTAAATTTAACGTAAATTAAAACATTTAAAATTTGGAAAAAAAAGGAAGGAAAAATAAAATATAAAGAAAGAAAAGCTTTAAATAAATCAAATAATAAATCATCTATCTGCTTGCTATTTCATGCAATTATTTGTGGGTTACCATGGTACCACAGGTGTAATGTTTTCTTAGGTGCAGTCCTGGGTTTGTCTGTACATGTCAATCAAGTAGTGTGGGTGGAGTTAATAGGTTAGAGCAGGAGCCAACCGTTAGTACGGGAAGAGTGTGATCTACAGAGCCTAAGGAGTGTTGTAGGAATGGAAGGTTATGATTGGTCATGTTACAGTGGTGTTGTAGGTATGAGGAGACTGGGTTGGTCGGTGCATCATTTTTTTTGTATGTGCAAAATATGTAGATAACTAAAACAAGCACTAAGACAAATCCTTTCTCAATCAAATTACACAAAAAACGGTGTAAATAAATCAAAATAGCAATAAAGCTGGTGGTAAGAAAAATTCAAAATCTGTTTTAATCTCCAACATGATTTAGGAGCATCACCTATGGATCGGTAGATGTACAAGAGAGATATTCATAAGAACTTCCACCAATTTTCTGATTATATCAGGAAATGCTTCAAATTTGTTGAATATATTATGATATGAAGATAGAAGATTTGTGCAGAGGAAAGATTTGTGCTTGGCTGGACAAGAATGAATGAGCATGCTTTAAAGGGGGAAGTAACTGGGGGGATGAAAAGGAGAGAAAGGGGAGGTAACTCAAAGTATGGCATCAAGAACAGAGACTGATGGATAATCATATTTCAGGATGATTACGTTTCTTTTCAATAACACAAGTCATCAAAATATATATCGTTATTTCATATAAATAATTTTCAAGATATTTTTCTAGTCAATAATAAACATCATCAGACATATTTTTTTTATCGTAGTTTCATTTGCATATGAAGTAAAAATATTGACAAACTCATAAAACTGTTCTCGTGCTCAAATTGAAGTCGAATATACTCAAGACTAATTTTCTTTCTCCCTGAGGTATTTGGAAAGATTCAACAAGTAAACACTTGATATGGAAATGGTTACAGCAACTTGACTTGGCTAAGAAAAGAACATTTTGAAATAAAAAAAAAAAAATAGAAAATACTTTTACACAATAACTGGGATTAGATAGTGAGCCCAGTCTGAGAATGAGAATAGTTTTATGAATAAGGCTAGAAAAGTAGATAACAGTTAATACACCACATAGAAATCAATTCATACAAGTTAACAATCATTTAGAAAATTGATCCAAAATCTGAATGTGACACTCTGTATCTTATTAAAATTCTCTGTTCTCATTTTCAATTTATTTCAATTTTTTATAAGCGATGGGCAACAAAAGAGGATGAAAGATAATGTCAGTGAAAACTTTTAGTGATAAAACACAAACTTCGTAAATAACAACAATTTTTTTAGCAAATCACTGAAAATTTCATTTATTAGTAAATCAACTCATTTATAAAGCTCTTTTTCACCAGAAAAAAAAAGAAAGAAAAAAACATATCTTTCTTCACGAACTTTATATTTCTAATCTATACCAACTGCTTTTGTTTTGTTTAACCATTTGAAGAACATAATTAAAGAACAAAAAAAGCAATCTATTACATGGCAACACTTTAACTCATCTATGTAGCAAAGGATGCTTCAGATTTTTGCATGTGACCATGAATGCCAATCAAGACAGCACTTTTACAAAATTTGGTATGTCGATCATTTACTTGGAATTTTTCATCCTATTTTGTTCAACACTGAGCCAGAAAATTTCAAAGTGACAGGGAAAACAAATCTTGACATCCTCATTTGATGGCTCTTTGTGCTTTCATGCAGAAGACTTTTAAAATCAAATGGTAATTTTGTAATGAAATGTTGACGAAGCTTGATCTTTCGATGGTTATTTCAAATTAAATTTATTACGATTTCGTCCTCCGAAAATGATGTCAAGAATTTGGTACAGGCTCTTTAAACCATTATTGCCAAAAACATGATTCGACTTGACGTAATTTGTTATGTTGAAGAATACTACATACCTCCTCATCTTTAAACCAGCATAACGTCTCGGCCGTCAGAACAAACCAGAAGTCCTTGGAACCGCCTTTCATAAAACTTATGTTATGTAGAGTGAGCCAGCCTTTACGAATAACCTGTAACGACACAAATAAAACATCCATAAGGGACTGGAGTTCCGATTAAAGCAGACAGATTTAATGCGGAGATAAACACTGTAATAGATAGTGAGAGGAAACAACAGTACAGATTACTTAAATCAAGGAGCAGACTGGACCCTAGGGAATACTCATTTGCTCAACAATTGTTAGCAACTGGAAGTTCAAACCTGAGAACGTGATTCAAGCACCAAATCTAATAACTTTTGAAAACCACGTTGATAATTTTTGGGAAAGTGATGAAAGGATTTTCACAATAACATTGGAGTGACGTCACATCAAAAACATTGTTATTTATTATGAATAAATAAATATGGACTATGATCTGAATATAGAGGCAGACATGCCTGCGTTCAAAATAAACTAAGTTAAACTAAGAAGTACACTGTTTTTATTCCTGGGGCTGAAGGAAACAACAGTGTATTGCTTTTATTTTTGAGACTGAAAGAAACAAAAGTACATTGCATTTATTCTTAAGGCTGAAGAACACAACAGTACAGTTTTCAAAGGTCCAGATTACCTCTCTGTGGATTGACGGAAATAGCTAGTGAACGAATGGTAAAATAACATTACATTACTCATTCACCCCTGAAATTTCATAATGAACTATTCCAACCTTTGGATTGGAGGAGTTCAAATGTGTATTCAGAGGTGAATGAGTTAATAGCTGTTAGGAGTCGGAATTTATTTCTCTGTTTTTGTTTGTTTAAACTACATTGTCTGTTTATCGTAAAAACCCATGTAATTTGCCCAGGTACTTTTTGAGGCTGAAAATCGGGAAAAAAACTTCTACTCAAATATTTTGCCCCACCCAAAAAATCTGAAAAAAATCAATGTTCATGCTCCGAAAATCGATCTCTGATTATTATTTTTTTAAATATATTTCTTACGATTTTTATTTTCATTGATGAAAAATTATATTAAAAACCAAGAAGAAACTACGTAAAATGTGTATTTTGTTGTTTGTTTTCTTTGAATTATCTGATTACACATAACACACACGTGTGCGCAAATCGGCATGTTCATCAATTAATTTTAGCTACATTTTACATAAAACATTTACTTGCTTACAAAAACATACCAATTAATTAGTGTTAATGTGTTATAACAGCTGGTGCATATATCCTGATGAACGACATACATTAACACCTTTTAATTATCATAATTACGATAAGTGAGAACGGCTCATCATGGCGGCTTGGGTATCTTCACTTCAAACAGGTCATGTCACAGTTCACGACACCGACCAATCAAATGTCACCTTGCGCATTCTGATTGGCTAGCCAAATATTGCGGTCATTGATATATGTACATTTCGAAGAGGTATGTATTCTAACCTATCTTGGATTGATGGGAACTGAAATGCTGATTTAGAACTTACCTGATTTCCAACTTTTTTTCTCTGTGTGTTTTCTGTTTTGTTTTGGGCACTGAAATTATTGATACGTACACAAATCATGCATTTTCCGACATATACATGGATAAAACTATGATTTACAAATTCAAGTAATTCATCTTATAAGTCATTAAAGTCAGAGGTCATTAAACTGAAAGGCCATGGAAGTCATGCTTCAAACATTTGGTTTTAAACTCATACAAAGTCCGGGATTCCATTTGACTCTTCTTTATGAAAACACAAGTAGATTCAATTATGTACCTACCGTTGTAGGTTTGGTATTATTAAGGTAATTAAGAACTTGGAAATTTCAATCAAAACAAGAGCTTTGTGAGATATACTATCTTCCAATGCACACGTATAATGCTGAACTGGTCCGTACTTAGAAAATCCAATAAAATCTTCGTGGTTAGTGTTCATGTATGCTAGTTGACACTCAACCAGTAGTCGCAGCTGTTCTTTGACCCTCTGTTCACATTCACGTATCCGTGTGTTCACTATCCTTTCAACCTCCTCCCGAAGTCGCGGGTAACGATTCATCTGCGAACAAAGACACGATGCATATATATAAGTAAGAAATCAGACAGGGTTTAACTCAAGAAGTGATTGATATATGTTAAGACCATTGTCCAGGGTTTAACTCATTCACCCCTGAAATTTCATAATGAACTATTCCACCCTTTGAATTGGAGTTCAAATGTGTTTTCAGGTGTGAAAGGGTTAAGTTATCAGTGATTGACATTTATTACATTTTTCTGAATAAGCTACTGTAATAGTGTATACCAGGAAATGTTTGCCTTTTTAATTACTATGTATACCATATGTTGTTTACAAATATATGCTGTAATTATCAATTCTCCCTCATTAGGAAGGGCAAAAAATGGAAAAATTAAACTGCAGCAAAACTTTCCCTGTATACAGTAGTTGATTCTATTACCAAAAACTGATATTTTACTACACTGTGACTGATATCAAAAGTGATATCTGTCACAGTGTGAAGATATCACTTTTTATATTAACCAATCAGAAGAGCCCTTTCTATTCACTGCATTCAAAGTGACAGATAATCTGTTTGGATACATATGAAGTGACAGTAAAAACAACTGTTATTCTAATACATCTTTTCTACGTTCACCGAGGTATTTAATTTACTTTCATAAACCATTAGAACTTTTGAAAGTAAATCTTTACTGAGTAATTGCAAAAATCAGTATAATTCAAAATGGAGAACAGCCTTGTTGTCAAGCATGACATCATCAGGATACGGCACCAGAATTTAAACTTTTACATTCTTGCACTGTTTTGATACAGTATTGTTTTCATTGTTGGCAAAATATACCCAGTATTTTTCGCTCATGCTATGCACTTGTAAAACAATATCAGTATTCTGCCATACTCATGAAGTATATATGGTATTTGTCGGAAAAGGATTAAAAATCCTCCACATCTGATGCTCATGTCAAGAGCTACCAGTATATACCTGGCTTGTGTTGTGTTCAGACCTACCTGTTGAGTGTTGCGCCGGACTACTGAGGTAAGTTCAGTAACTACTAAATCTGCACACTTGATAGAGGGGCTGATGAGTTTTTGTATCTGGCCTTTAACAATAGCTTCAAAGGCCATGTCTGGCGTAAACAAGCCAGTTCTGTAAGCAAGAAGGACATCATCATGTATCAAGGTCATTTAGAAAAAGACCTCATTTAAAAGGACTTTTTATCTTTTTTCCTTACTGCAGAGCAGAAAATAATTAATTTCTTTACTACGCATATAAAATAATCAACATTGCACAGATTTCTGGGTTTTTTTGTATATGAAATAATCAATATCACAATTGTACAAGGTTTTTTTTTGCTGAATAAATTTATGTCGCCCTAAGTCATGAATTTTTGCTTCCTTAACACAAGACATTTTGTGATCAGTGTGAATACTGACCTGATGGCGCGGATGTTTCTGATGGCGATGCTGATTTCTCTCCTCAACTCACGCTCGTCAAATTCCATCTGTGGAAGGATTAAATCATGTGTTAATTCCACTTTTAAACAAGAGTTCTTAGGTTCAATCTGATAGCAGTAATTAACTCATAAACCCCTGAAAACACATTTGAACTCTTCCAATTCAAAGGTTGGAATAGTTCATTATTAAATTTCAGGGGTGAATGAGTTAAATATACTTCCAAAAGTGATTTTTGCAGTAAAAAAACATACTGTCTTTCCTAGATTGATTTCATATGATGCATAACCAAACACTTTGTAACAGATTCTCCACAAAACTCAAGATTTATTTCTAGCATTAGTCAATGTCTAAATACATACCTTGACCAACTCGAATGGAAATCGTTCGTGAAATATGCGGTTGATTTTGGCTCCCCCTGACAATTCTCTAGTGTTAATTACCGACCCTGATCCCTCTATGCTCTTCTCAAAGTCCACGTTGAACGTCTGACACATTCTGCAATCACACACATTCAAAATCAGTTATAGTTATAAAATGGTAATTACACATACATATCTAAGGTAATTACACATAACTAAAGTAAATAACATACATTCAAAATAAAGTACACCCATCCAAAGAAAAGTTAATTCATTCAAAATAAATAACACACATCAAATGTCAATCCCATACATCCAAAGTTAATTGCACACATTCCAAATTAGAATTTTAAATTTAAAAAAAATCTTGTTTTCCAAAAAACTGAAATAAAACCTTGTACAGCTTTCTTCTTTATTATAAACTTACTGCATCATGGCCTTTGTCTTCCGCGATGGGTCATCAGGTCGGAAGTTTTTGAATTCTTGTACCTCCTTTTCCATAGACAATAACTGTGATTGGAGTCGATTCCTCAGTGTCGGCAAAGAGTCACGGATGTGATTGGTCAATTGTTCATTGAGCACTTTCTGTAAAAACGGGGTGCCCATACGATCTGCCATGTGTCTGCAGAGGAGAATATTTAGAGAACAACTAGAACACTGTGTCATCTTAAAATTGGACGCAGATCTTCCCACAGTGAACAAAATTTTAAGGATTGAAATGTATCTTTTTAACATTTATGATGAAATGCAACACAGTTCCGTTTAAACATATTCAATGATGTGCGGCTCATGTGTAAAGGTTTTTGTTGATTGATCTTCGCATATCAACAGACAAATTAAGCTCTATTTTATTTATTAATCTTATCATTTTTTTATAAATACATAAATTTGTGTTTTTCTTCCATGTATGCACTAAATATTAAGGTTATGTGATCGATTGTATTTTTTTTTTAATGTTAGTATTCAGATTAATATGTACCATACCTGTATGCGGGATGACTGAGGAAAAATTTGCGCTCAGAGGCCATGGCCGCCCGAATGTCCTTCCTGCCTTCTATATCCTTCTGGCTTCTGTTGACCACTCCGACGTAACCTGTAGGGAGACAAGTCAAGCATCCCGTTATCTTTGACACAAAGTAAAACTGTACACAGAAAGTAAGTGGTCTTACTAGACAGGTGATTACACAGAATCATTGTGATGGAGGTAAAAACTCACATTGATCTTAAGGTAAAGAGTACCAATGCAGTTGTTATAAATTATAAAGAAGAGTTCCACTACTGTACTGTTTCTTACTTGAAATAATCTCCCTTTCATTTTGAAGATTAAAAGACGGAAAAGATTTGCTGGGTTTGAGTTTCTTCCCTTGTGAGGGTCATTTATAATTCCATGACAGCAACACTTGTATAGTATAAGTTTTGTCAGTTGATGGGTTTAGAGTTTAACCCTAACGTTAGTGCAGGCAAAAGTACTCAGTCTTGGACAAATATAAACTTCCAAAATGGTGCCCAAAATTATATTTTTCATTGGGTCTGGATGAGAAGGTCCAGGGCTTTTAACGGATGTCTTTCCCAACCCCCAACTTTTTGATAATTGGTATATTTCCGATCGTCTTGCACGTCAACAGGAAACATCTGACCAATCAAAACGATTTTTGGGGCTTGATAACCTATCTAACAGAGACTGCCCCAGGTGTGGTGAAGGCTTACTTTTTCATGTAAACCAGTCTTTGGTAACTGTCGGTATCTACGTACAATCATCATGTGATTGTTCAGCGGTAGATTCTACATGTACTTTCAGGCTGACAACAAATTCTTTTTTAAATATAAATCTAGAAAATTTCTAGATGGTATATTAATAAAAGTGCTGTACGATGGCTGAATACTTTTTAAAAGATATTGGTTGATAGGTTTCTAAATACACGTTGCATGAAAATGGAGAATGAATTATCAAATCTTTCCGAGCGTCATTTCCATGAACATGTTCCAAAGAACACTTGCAGAAAAACAAGTTACTTGCCACGATTAATGGCTCAGTCTACCATAAAACTGCAATTAACGTTGAGGTAGGCCTATGGGTAATTTGTAAATACTAAATCGCAACCAACAGGCCTCAGATTAATGAATTTAGTTGACGAGATGTCAGTCGCACAGACAAAAAATTTAAGATTTGTTGCGTTACAAGATGCTTCATAACTGTTTTGATTAATGATATAACTTTTCCCTTCTTACCTCTTCTTGTCAAAATGTTTGGGGGCTTTAACTGTGTTGAAGACTATGGTGTCATTATTTACGTCACACCCTTTGTATTATGACGTCATATGGCATTTTCGTCACAGGGTGGCAAATTTGGGTGCATGGCAAATTTGCCTGCACTTACGTTATATTTTTTATTTTTTTTATCTTCAATTTTGAATACCCATAATTCTGTAAAATACATTGCAAGATGTGACTTATATAAAATACTGTGCATAAAATAATTTAAATGAACATTTATTTCATCAATGGCAATAAAACATTGTAACTTGATGTTACTCTTTATCAATTTTCCTTCAGTTTGAACATCAAAATGTGAATTAACTATACCTCTGCGAAGTGGTAGGGTTCGGTTCTCCAAAATATCGCGGGCATCTGTCCCTTCGTCCATTAAATCTAGCTTGGTGATGACACCTATAGTACGTGTACCTTCAAAAAATAACACCTCAGTACAGTGATTGTAACATTTGGAAAATAACCCCCTATTTCTCTTTTGTTGATTAATTCATTCAAAATAGGTTTTTTTTCCTGCCACTTCTTTTCATCGCTTGTGCTATTGTGTACAAAAATATTTTTTTCTGATAATTCTTTCACGTATGATTTAAAATTAATACATATTTCTACATATGACTTATTATGAATATTCATTTATACTTTGGACTTCTTATATGAATATGCATATTCATTTATAGATGACATGTTATGAATATTCATTTATAGATGACATGTTATGAATATTCATTTACACATACAACTTTTTATGCATTTTCATTGATACATATGATTTTTCATGAATATCCATATATACATTTGATTTTTCATGAATATTGAAATGAATGTTTATAAGAGGGGGAAACCATTTGTACCTTGAGGATCAACCTCTTTAGCAATTTTGAGAGCGTCAGAGTTGGCGAGATCTGTGTTGGCCGGGGACACAGCTAGGATGAGACATGTATCCTTTGTGATGAACTCCATGAGCATGCTACGGATCTGTGCCTCGATGTCCACGGGCTGGTCCCCCACGGCCACCTTGGTCATCCCCGGCAAGTCTATCAAAGTCAGGTTCAGCACTGAAACACGAAGAGACCTCATTATCAGGGGCTGATCAATATTAAATTACAGACCACGTTAGTTTCATACATTCTTAAGACAGTTTGACCATCTGACTGTATATAATAATGTCCGATAGTAAGAATGAATACAGGCATTGACTGTTGTTTGATCTGTTTCATGCACTTACCATCTTGATTAAAATTTAAAACTTTCAGATTCATTCAACATCCTGGCAGTAAGACAAGCCTTTTAGGAAGTGTTATATGATATTCCAGGAATATTTTTCCCAATGAAATATTCGTACTTCACAGGTAAAAATTAAACATATTCACCCAGTGTTGATTTTGCCATTAATATGTTATTATTATATATCTTATATGCTGTGTATTACGGTAAACCTTCGGTCAGTTCGAACAAAATGAAATTAATGTTGTCAATCCTGTTCAAATAACACGAAATTATAGCTGCTAAAATAAGAGTAGTTTGAACTATACAAGTCGACATCAGCAAAAATCACGGCAAACAATCAAGTCATTGATACGGAACAACAAGGGCTTATTGCGATATATATTTGCAAATCTGGAGATGAATATAAATGGTATATGTATCTTTCTTATATTTAATCACATATTGATAATCAATTATTAAGTTCAATTGCAAAGCAGAGACAAGTGTGTAGGCCGCAAAGCAGTAGATGTTTTCTCGAGTAATGACGAAAGTTCAGTTGTACTGATCAGAATGCGGAGGGTGGATTGAACTGCAATTACGGATTAATAGTTCGATCGACCACCTAGTCATATATTTTATTTTCGGCACATTTACAGGTAATATATCAATTAAGTTATAAATCAGTGATCGGTGGCCAGGTCGCGATTACATAATCAAATTGTAATCACAGTTATACCATGACAATACACACGTCTGTCAGAGATATTGATGTGACGGTAACATTCTGCGCTCCGTGTACTGTTAGGATATTATACATGGTCGGGGCCAAAAGATGTTTGACTGGCGCGTGCACATGTTTTCAAGAAAGAATATTTATGTACAAATTGTCCAACATTGATGACAACAATGGTCGCACATGAGTACTACCCGTTAATCAGTAGTTAAACGCTGTTGATGCGCAAATAGATCAAGTTTAAGCGAGTTTCGCGAGGCTATTATTGCATCACCGATAGCCAACCTCGATCAATAATTACCAAAGTTCAGTACTCAAGTTGTGTGTTCGAACAATCCGGAACGTGTGTAAGCAGGGTTCGAAGTATCACTAGACAGAAAATTATTATTTTTATTGTTCAAAGAGTGTGTTCGAACTATCCGCCTATTCGTACTGACCGGAGATTTACCGTACATGTAATATATTTGCTGCCATCAAAAATTCCCCCTGATCATTGCAGAGAGAGATCAAGTTGTAAGTTAACTCATTCGCCCCTGAAATTTTATAATGAACTATTCCAACCTTTAAATTGTTAGAGTTCAAATGTGTCTTCAGGGGTGAATTAGTTAATCTGTGCCAAAAACTTTCCTGCCATACCGCTAACCAGTATTAGATGTCTGACAGTGAAAAATTCTGTTTAAGTTATAAACCCCTGTGGCTTCCTGCAGTCAGACTTACCATTAGGGGAGTATACTCGCAGGTTGATAGGAACATTGGAGATTCCTCTATTTGACCCAGTCATCCTATCTGTTTCAGCCTCAATTTCCTTCCGAACCAAATCAAAATCAGAGAATGGTTTCCCCTTGAGGTGCAAGAACTCTGCATATTCTGTCAAAAATATCAAAAAAAGGATCTGGTAAAAATATGATGGAAAATAATTTAAAGCTACTTCATTTTAACTTAAAATATTCAAAATACTGCTATATAAAGTATTGAGACTGACGCACACTTGTTGGTTATAAGACACCAGACAGGAAATTCAATTTTTTTTCTTATAAAATCTGTCCCAACTAGATACAAATTGTTTCACAAAATCAGTTTTCGCTTCAAAAGATATGAAATCGTTAAGCCACTTACCTGTGTTACCGTTGATGAGCTGTAGAACCAAAGGTCGTCTGGTAACAATTCCATTTCCTCTTGGCAGAAAATCTCTGTAATAAAAAGAAGGTTTTTATATTCCTTTAAAAACAGTATTAAATATTGCATCATATATAACAAAAACAATCATGCCCAGTTCCAATCGTAGAACTAGTACTGCTGACCTTGCCCAATATCTACCAACCAATATCATCAACTTTTAACCCATTCACCCTTGAAAACACATTTAAACTCTTCCAATTCAAAGGTTGGAATAGTTCATTATGAAATTTCAGGGGTGAATGAGTTAATTAAGCTTGAATAATTTCTACAGGCCATGCCACTGATCTTGTGCAGTACCCAAGGACTATACATCAGTGAATGACAAAGTTCAGTCTACTTGGTCAGGAGACTTAGGCCAAACAAAAATATGTGTGTTTCTGATTTCCCTTTCGACTCTAGATTTTTGTGCCTGCCCTAAAGTTTGTATTGGCATTTAGTGATAAGCACTGTCAAATCAGTACTTCTGCTTTTATATAAGCTTATTAAAAATAGTTAAAAAATTAAAAATTAAAAAAAAAAAAAAAAAAATGGCTACCTACCGACCCTGATTTTTTTCAATCAGATACAGGAAACACACATATTTGTTTTGGCCTTATTACAATGTTCAATTATGAACACTGTTTTGTTAATGTACATAAAAGCTAATATAGCAATGATTGCCTAGTAGATAGAACAAGTTATGGAATCTGATATGACGATATCTTGTCATAGTTACAGACGAGGAAAAAGAAAGTGTTGAGTAGTAAAATCAATGTTTAAAAAGGGTAGGTTTGTTTGTTTGGAGTTTTATATCCTTGCAATAGATATGGTATGTTTATAAACATTCAAAACAAAGTATTCAAAATACTGGTAAAATGGATGTTATAAGGGGGGAAATCAATGCTGACTTGGCAAAAAGTAAATGCTTAGAGAAGCATATCAGAGTTAACATGGAGTAAAATCAATGTTTACAGGAAATGTTAATATGAATAAAATCAATGTTTACAGGAAATGTTAATATGAGCAAAATCAAAGTTTACAGGAAATGTTAATATGAGTAAAATCAATGTTTACAGGAAATGTTAATATGCGTAAAATCAATGTTTAAATGCTTTAAATGCTTAAAGTGGAAAACCAATGTTTACAATATAAGCTCAATTTTTACATAGTAAAAAATGTTTACATGGGTAAAAACAATTTTTAATCAATGTTTACTTTGGGGTTAATCAATATTTACCAGGTAAAATGTTTTCCGGGATAAAATCAATGTCAATCATTGTTGTATGTTGTGAAATAAAAATATTTACAGGAGTGAAATCAATGCTTACACACGATAACATGAATGAAGATTGTTAGCCTAGAGTTCCATATGCAGTCTATAGATTGATCTGTATGAGAAATATCTGTTTAATAGCATGCTGTTATCTAGAATTAGCTGGGTCCGGATTCTCTGTGGTGCATGTGTATAAAAACTACACCATAAACACATTCCATAGCATGCACAATGATAGTGTGTTCACGCCCGATATGGCTGAATACAGAGCTTGCTTCAAGTATTGATGCGGAGTAAAGATTGATCAGAACCACCAAAACACCCAGCTAAACTCTCAATCAAGCACCAAGCTTCTCTGGAATCTGACATTATCGGATACATATAATATCATGTATCATATACATCATGTATCCTAAATTCGTGATTAGCCAGGATCAATTTCACCCAAATTTTCTCTGTGGCAAATGTCTGATCGATTGCGGCAATTTTCCCCACAGCACTGCTTCCATGCTTAATCCATATTAATTAATGCGATTCAAATAAATCTCAATATGCAGCAATATTTTTTCAGAAATTAGTCCTGCATTTTAAATTTAGACTTCCTGGCAAAAAAAAAGTTAGTGATCCTTTCCAGTTTGAAATCAAAATGGATAGCAGTAAAATTTATAACAATACATAGCTATACATGTGCCATGATGTGCAGGGTATTGAATACTGTCACCGTGGCCCCAAAACAATCTTTGTACACTGTAATATAATTTCCATATAACCTACATGAAGTTATTATCTTAGTAGGGCTACATGTAGATATGTTATGCCCCTCATTGTATTTTTTGCTTCCTCACTTTTAAATTACCACTAACATATTTCAAGGTCCCCCTTTCCCCAAATTTTTCTGAAATATACATGTAACTCTTTATACATGAATTCAGGGCACTCCTAATAGTTGTTTTAAACTGATCATGATATTTTTCATTTTTCAAGAGATGTCTGAGGCAGACAAAGCACTGTAGCATGTAGAAATCATGTCATATTTGGAGTGGGGTTGGGGAGGTGGGCGAAGGGGGGCTTGGCATCATGTAGATGTCCCCCTTAATTTTTCTCACGTTAAAGAAGTCATAGTACTTCATATATCAAAAGTTTGGTAAATTTAAAACCAAAGCAAAAAAATGTCCTTATGTATAGATTTTCAGCACTATAACTGTTCTAAAATACAGAAGTTAATGTCATACAATAGGTAGGACTTCCAACTTCAGCTGAAATGCAAGGGAAAAAAATCCCTAAGGACCTGTAATTAGATGTCTGTAGATAACAAATATTTATATGTATACTATTCTCTACATAAGTCCCTTTGTTATATTTTATGTAAGAAAGGGAAATGTTTCGTTCAATTTTTGACGACCTGTTAAAAATCCGTTTTGTTTGTAATATGAAAAGGCAAAAGATGATATGGTCACTGGTATTGTTCTGGACCCCAGGAACATTTTTTGATGCAAAATTATCATAAACTTTTCTCAGATCGATCATAATCACTAGGAAGTGTTTTTAGACCAACACATTATGACTTATCCATTATCATCTGGTGTATTTCCTGGTACAATTACAACGCACGTTTCCAGTTCAGAGGTTAACATGAACAAGTATTGTTTGATATGTGAACTTCCTCATGAGATCACACAGCCTAAAGAAGTTCCCCTTTTTTACAACCTCTCTGTTTTTTCAATGGAAGTTAATCATATGCACATCCGCCGTAGCATCAATGTGTATGACTCATATACAATTGAGCAGGGTTTAAAACTATCCTACAGAACAGACATCACAACAATAACTCTCATCGGTGGATGTTAGCTAGTAAAGTGTAATCATACATCCTGTACAAAATGTTAAGGGGAGATAACTAATAGTACACTATATTTTGTAAAAATGATTCAGGGGAGATAACCAGTATTATAGTGTATGTGATGGTAAATCTTGTACAAAAGGGGTTCAAGGGGACAAAGATGATATTCAGGTCTATATTCATGCGTTGTGACTTATAAGAATATCAGGAATCACTTTCACACCTAACATTAATCACTGATCATTTTTGTTCATTGATTTAATGACGCAGTAGCTATATAAAGACTTCTGATTAAATTATTTTGATTCCTAGCGTCAGATTGTAATCTCTATATAAGAAATGTAAATCCGAGCACAGAAACCATATTTGGCATGACAATGTGTTTGTGAAGGGTGGGTGTGTAATCAATGCATTTGAACTTTGCCTTCATTTGCTTATCTAGGCACCTTGCTGTTGATTATTGAATCTTTCTAATCCCCTCTTTATCGCAAGATGGTTCTCCTCTTGGTATGGTGAGCTGTACTCTGTCCTTTTGCTTTAGTGTTGCCTGTAAATGTGTCTGCTGATGCCCATACAACCATCCATGCATGGTGACCTCTACCCTGTGTCCACTGACCCTGTGTCTTCAGCTGCTTGTTTCTTCAAGTGTCCAATTATACCCTTCCATGCATGGTGACCTCTACCCTCTGTCCACTGACCCTGTGTCTTCAGCTGCTTGTTTCTACAAGTGTCCAATTATACCCTTCCATGCATGGTGACTTCTAGATTCAAGTATACCCCTCCCTGTACAGTGACCTCTAACCGCCGTCCTTTGATCTGAATCTGCAGCCGCCCGTTTTCTACAACTGTCAATATATCCCTCCATGTATATTGTCTCCTACATACACATTGTCCTAATTTAGTCCTGGAGCTGCCCATTTCTATAAGCATCCATGTATACTGCAGCATGTGTGTTGTGTCCTACATATAAACTGCCCATTGGTCCCAGAGCTAACCCTGTCTACATACTAACACAACATCAATGAGTATACTGTGTGTATATATATATGTAAAGCAAAGTGTGGGTTATTGATAGACTGTGGTTAGAATCTTATGTCTTGTGGCCAGCCTTCCAACGAGATCCGCCTTCCAACAACAGCGTTAATAATTAATATGGCTCGGCGAACATCCTTCAATTGATTACTGTACTGGTGATGTCCTATAGTACGTTTACCGCCAGCCAAGGGTTTTTTTCCATCACAGAGCCTCCAGGCTGCTGGTGTATAATGACCTTTGGTCTGGCTCTGCAAGATTCTGTTCAGCGAACACCCTAACTCATTAATACCAATCAACCTTAAATATGTGATGTCACAGGCCACCAACTCCACATAACAAAACAGATGAGCCATGAAAATAGCTAGTCTTACACACTTGCAGAAATCTTATGTAATTTTAACAGCAATCTTGAGGTATCCTTATTTGCGGTTTGCAATATTGTTAGGTACTTAACGATGAAGGATATACAGCTGAGTTTATCTACAGTGTAACTAAAGTATCAAAACTGCAGCCATACAAAGTATCAAAACTGTAGCCATACAAAGTATCAAAACTGTAGCCATACAAAGTACCAGTGTTCCCTGTAAATGTTACCATACAAAGTATCAAAACTGTAACCATACAAAGTACCAATGTTCCCTGTAAATGTTACCATACAAAGTACCAGTGTTCCCTGTAAATGTTATCATACAACCAATTAAACTCTGTGTCCCCTTAATTAATGGCATACCAGTACTGTGTATTTTGTTTGATAGTGTGTCTCTGTGATGAATACAGTGTATTTTGACTGATACTTTGTCTATGAGAGGTATATATACAGTATTGTTTGATTGACATTTTGTCTATGTGAGGGTAGACAAAAAAAATGCAAGGTACCGGTATTC